AATCGGAGTTCGTAGGACTCTCCTTAACTCCTTGGTCGTTTCGAAGTACACACACACACAGGCGCAGCACTGTTGATCCGGGCTGCATGCCATCTGCGTGTTTGGGAGCAGCGCTACGTGCGATTATGGCGCAATTTGTTTCGGCATTCCAAGCCTGAACAACAGCCACACTCCCTTGAGGTGCTTTATCGTGCCAACGCGGTACCTCCCCCGCTTGCTTTGGCCAAAGCCCGAGCCGCTTTCCTCGCCCGACTCTTTGGACATGGCCCCCTGGACTTGGCCGCGCTGTTGGTCAACCACTTTCTTCTGCATCCTGCTTCCTCCTGGTTAGACCAACTACGTACGGATGTTGAGTATGCCGTCATGTTCATTCCCGAGCTTCGGAACATTCTCCCACCTGGAGGAGAGGTTGCAGCACTCGTTGAGGCTGCTGCTACGAGCCCGCAGTGGTGGCCGAGCACCCTCCGCAAAGTCGGCAAGCTTTTCTTCCTTGACCTTGAGCGATGGCATCTTGCCCGCCAGTCTACGACCTCCCTCCCAGGTGCTCTCTCTGCCGCTACGACGTCAGAAAATGTCACACAGCTGGACTTTGCCTGTGACATTTGCCACAAGCAATTTGCTCTCCGCAAGCATCTCCACCTCCACATGGCCAAAACACATGGCTTGCTGAGCCCTGCACGTCACTTTGCAACCTCAGAAGTCTGCAATGCTTGCGGAAAGTACTATGGCACAGTCCTCCAGGTCCAGCAACACCTCAAGTCCTCCTCGAAGTGCCTTCTCAGGTGTGGGTACCTTCACCCGCCATTGACCAAGCCACAAATCGAGCAGGTCGAAGCTGACTCTAAGCGACAGCGCCGTCGCGTCAGAGCTGGACACTGGAAAGACTTTGCCGCCAGACCGCCTCCGACAGCTGCCCCTGTGACCTGTGGGCCTCTTTTTCCCACTGCCATAGAGCGCACCGTTGGCAGAGAGGAAGATGAAACCCTGTTACTTTCCCAGCTCCGCAGCCACTACACTCCTAGTGCAGAGACTGTGGCCTGGCTTGAGCGGCATGTAGCAGGTAGATCTACTGAAGGCCCTAGAGTCACTGCGACCAGATTTTGGCAGCAGCGACCTACTGCCCTTTTCTAAGGCGGTCTCGTCTCACCGGCATGCTGAATTCACCAATTTTGGACGCGCCCTAATGAGGGCTCTGGAGTCCGACCAACAACAACAACAACAATGCCATTTTGTGGGTTCCTTATTACAATTGTAGTATAATCGGCCCCAAGATCCTATTTTAATTATTAAGGCCCCGACCTATTTCTGTATTCACATTTGGATCTCGGTTCATAATGCAGTGGGCAAGAAGTTAGGTGAATAAGAGTCCAAGATCTCACGCACCCTTTGTTACTCACCGTAAACTAGGCTTGTGGTTCGGGTGGGTTTGGGGTTCATTTAGGGTTGGTCTCAAGCTTATTCTGTCAGCACGCTGTCCGGTTTCGGATAGCTCAGGGGTTTAGAGCGTAAGGTAGGGGCCTAGATAATTACCTATACTATTTGGGGGTTCCTTTTTATAATTATAGTGTAATGGGCCCTAACATCTTAAGACCCAGCCTTGTCCTTTTTCATGGTTCCCCCAAAAGAATAAACAGACCGGCTAGTAGACCTTCTTAAACAATTCCTACGAAGGGATATAGGTATAGGGCTCTGTCTATTATTCCTAAAAGGACAAGGGTGCTTAAGGTTCCTATATTAGTTTAAGTACACTCTCACAGGCCCTTACACGCACCCTTGACAGACCCTAAATCCTAAACCCGATACACTCAAACAACCCAAAGCCCTTGATGACAAACCTTGCACTTCTACTTTAGGGGCGGTAATATATGAATATGCAGTTATAATCAGGAGTCCCAAAATAGATAAGGTAACAAAAAAGGCCCCCCATATTAGGGCGTCTGGATCCCATGACCTCATAGCACGGCTCCTGCCAAAGCCAGGTACAACCTTTACCAGAGCGGCGAGACAGGAAGTGGCAAGGACGGGTTTTAGGGTTTAGGGTTTAGGGAACAGATGCAGGCTTTACACGGCTCTGGGTCAGGGTGTTCTACTGTTGAATCATGCTGTTCTGACTCTTTACGGTCTGCATTCGGAGTATCCTTACTGGGAATGATAGTCGCGAATTCCAACAGCAGCGGAAACTCCATAAACCCACATAAATCCTACACCGTACCGACGTTCACACTTGGGGCTAGCTCAGCAGCGCAATTAATTAGTAGCAGTATTTCTCAGGGTTCAAGGTTTTAGGGTGTAGGGTTCGTAGTCCTTAAACATGAGCTGTCTCCCTTCTAAATGTGCCGCTTGTACCAGGTGTTGGTTTCTGCTGGGTGACCCTCTATATTGTGGATGGAGGCACATGGAGGCACACTCGATACAGAGATGAGACGCTTGGGTGCCTCCTCGAGTGCACACGGTTGTCTGTTACATTGTGTGTGTGACAGCGCTCCAAGCACCAGTATGCACCAATGTTCAGGTCAAAGCACCTGCGTGGCGCTCAAGATCCCTCACCAAGACGCGATGTTCATGCCCGAGCGACTATGGACGCACCGCTCCTCCTGTACACTCCCTCATGCAGGCATGCAAACACGTGATCGGGCCAGTATTTGGAGGGGTCCTGAACGACCTGCCAGTACAACGCCTGAGCGTCACGGTTTCGGCAAAACCATCCCTCTTACCGTGATGCGCATCTGCAAAATTACTATGCTGGCGCTCTTGAAGACATCGATAACCCTGCCCCTTCGACCGCAGACCGCTTGACTGATAGCACTCGCCCTCGCAATACTGTTGATGATATAAATCATGCATTACCTTAAGGACCCTAAACTATGGGAATTATGGTATATTCCTTACTACGGGTAATGCAGGATTTGTATCATCAAGCGTAGTTCCAGAGGTAACCGCTTAAGGTTTAGGGTTTAGGGTAGGGTTTAGGGTTTAGATTGTTCCACGGGGCATTCTGATTCCAACCTTCGTTCCTGTTCCGATTTGCAACTTCATGCTCTTGAAACTCTAAACCCGAAACCCACAATGCTATACCGCCGGCCGTGATATCCCAGCCCTGACAGCTCCAAACCGAGCAGGTGCATAGCTCAAAGTGCCTTGGTAAGAGCTTGTGCAGAGCTACCTGTAACCCCAAACCGTACAATATAGTACCTTATGACCCAGGACCCTTTTATTATCAGAAAGGTACGCTGTGGGGTCACGGCATTCCACCTCCAGACATGTAGGGTATAACCCGTAGAACAGCAGCTTTTTGGATTCTTAGCTGGGGAAGCTGACACCCCTGCAACACCCTGCATGCTTCCTCGGTGTTTCATGATTTCCGGAGACGCTCAAACATACACACTACTTAAAGGATCATGGGACTTAGTAACTAGGGTTATAAATATGGTAACTATACTTATAATTAATTACTTCTAACTAGGTACTTATAACCTTACTTACTAAGTCCCATGATCCTCCAAGTAGACCCGACACACTGAAGGCCTGAACCCAAAACCCTATACAACCCTTACAGGAACCTTTGCAGGAGCCCACAGGAGCCAGCACAAGATAGAGCTGCGTGAAGCCCCAAGCCCTAAACCGTATAGAATCATAGGGATCCTTAGGGGTGTAGGGGGAGGGGGGGTAGGGGGCCTTAAGGCCCATAATAAGGACTAATAAGGCCTATTTAAGGAAATATAGTCCCCTACACCCCTCCCCCCTACACCCCTAAGGATCCCTATGATAGAAGTGCTCTAGAAGCACGATCGAACCCTTAAAGTAGCCCTTAAAGCTCGTTCAGTGGCAACCCCGAGACGACTCCGACAGACCCGTAGTACGGTTGATGATATAAATCCTGCATTACCTTAAGGGCCCTACGCTGTGGGAATCATGATATATTCCTGATTATGGGTCATGCAGGATTTTTACCATCAACCGTAGGGCCCTTCACGCAATCGTATACAAACTTGAAACCCTAAGCAGAGGGTCATTCTGTTCCTGAGACCCTACACCCTAAAGGGGCCCTAAACCCCTGGGCCTTGAAGCCTACACCTTACACTCTTTGGGAAGAGGATCCCTTCGAGGAGATCAAGAAGCTCACCAAGGCCTGTGCAGGTTTTCTTTTTTACTGGTTTGTGAGGCTCGATAGGGTTCTTGAGCATCCCTTCTGTGGCTTAGGGTTCGAGGGTGTAGAGTTTATATAGGATATATCGTCGTTCTAGAATTATTAGTGCTTTCAGGCATAACTCAATGATACCATATCCACCCAAAGCCTTATTCAACCTTTTGAGATCCTATACTCAGCCTTCGTAGCAGCCCCTTAAAGAGACTTACTTCATCTTGCTGGAAGCCTAGGCCCTATAACCTAAACCCGAAAATCCAAACCCTAAACTGCACCCTAAAGATGACGACTTGGATTTTCATGGCACTCACGGTTGATGATATATATCCTGCGTTCTCCATAATAAGGAATATACCATAGTTCCCATAGTTTAGGGTTCTTAAGGTAATGCAGGATTTATAGCATCAACAGTAGTAAGCACAAATGGGGTTATAAGTTGCTATAGGTATAGTTGCTGTGTTGGTAACCTTAGTTACCAAGTCCGAGGAACCTTGAAGTAGACCCTAAGCCCTCTACCCTTAAAGGAAACCCTACTATAGAACCCTATAGTACCCTGAAAAGGAACACCAAAACCCCAGTTCAAGTCTAAACCCCAAACCTAAACCCTAAACCTTAAACCCTAAACCTTAAACCCTAAACCTTAAACCCTAAACCTTAAACCCTAAACCTTAAACCCTAAACCTTAAACCCTAAACCTTAAATCCTAAACCCTAAACCCTAAACCCTAAACCCTAAACCTTAAACCTTAAACCCTAAACCTTAAACCCTAAACCTTAAACCCTAAACCCCTAAACCTTCAACCCTAAACCCGAAGCCCGGCCCGGAGGCCAAGCAGCCCAGCTTAACCGGCTCGGCTATGGCCCTGGAGGCACCTTCCAACGTTCTCCGGTTCAGAGCGTCGAGTCTAGGATTCGCTTACTTTAAAGGGATCCTTAGGTTCTATAGGGGTTCTATAGGGTTCCTTTAAAGGGATCTATAAGGGTTCCTTTAAGGGATCTTACCTTAGATCCCCAATACTTGCCCCTTAAATTTGTTGGGGCTCTTCTGTGGCTTTTTGGGTAGTAAGTGTAAGGATCCTTGATGGGGGCTCTAGACTGCGTTGTAATGTTTGGTGCTTGGAGTTAAGCGTTTAGGCTTTAAGGTAAAAGCCAGAAAGTTGGAATATGATTATCCTAACCCTTCTATGGTAAGTTATAGGGTATCCTACCATGAAACCATATTCCAACTTTCTGGAGTTCCCTGTAGGAGTAGGTTTTGTTTGAGACATCATTTCTGCGTAATTACACTTTGGCCTTTGCGGTTCGTGCCGTGAAGGAAATTTGAGGGTATGCATCCCCAAATCCCATGCACATGTCAAACCCCTAGGAAGACAAATTAATGCAGCATTCGGAGCAACAAGGAATAACCTCCCCTGTAGTCCCTACTGCAATGGGACAAGAATATACTGTACCACCAAGCCCTTTCCCATTATTAAGGGCCGCTTCAAACCTCAGGCATGCCGTATAGGAACCTAAACCCTAAACCCGAAACCCCAAACCCTAACCCTAACCCCTACACCGCCTTAAAGGAAGCCTAGAAGGGAACCTTATTTTGATATATTGTGATAAGAAGCCACCCGACATCAATCCTTAAACCCCAAGCCCCGCAACAGAAAGCTTAAGCCGCATACCCTTGTCCCAATGATTAAGGCATAGTAAGGCCCTTACCGTAACACCCCTTTGTTGTACTAATACAAACTATAAACTGTAATAGTAGGGCTTTACTATGCCTCATCCGGTTCTTGACGGGATTCGGGGGTCAGGTATACAAAATTCTAAATCTTAAACATCCCTTGTGTAGGGCACGCAAGGTGTAGAATCAGTTTAGAACTTGTGTCCACCGGCGAAGCTGGGTTTAGGGCTTAGGGGTCTTTAGTGTTTATGGAACCGCGATTAAACCCTAATTCAGTTTAGGGTGTAGGGCGCTGTTCTTCGTTCAGGGTTTAGGGCGGGTCCTACAGCGCTTAATTTGACAAGCACTTGCTGTAATATGCCAGGGTGACTTTTATTTACCTAAATAGGAGAAGAACACCACAAGTATCCGTCCATCGCACATCTCAGCTTTCCTTGAATGCAAATGTGTTTGATTAGCCGGTGGGTTCCGAATCGTGTGCAAGATGTCGGTTTCCGTGGAAGTTGGGCTGCTCAGTGGAAAGAAGGCTACTGTGAACGCGGCCTTGGATGAAAAGGTGGAAACGTTAATGCTTCGCGCGAGGACCGCGCTTGGGGCTGGCAAAGGGCTGCTGGTGGACATATCTGGAAGGGTCCTGGATGCATGTACATCGATTGGGGATTCCATGCTGTTGACGGGTGATACACTGATGCTTCACGTCGGCCGAGTTCAGGCGAATGCCGGCGATGCCGCTTTTACTGCCATTCTTGGCGATGGATCTGTCGTGACGTGGGGTTATGATGAGTACGGTGGTGAAAGTAGTGCTGTGCAGGATCAGCTGAAGAATGTGAAGCAGGTGCAAGCTTCTGGCAAAGCTTTTGCCGCCATTCTGGGTGATGGGTCTGTGGTGACCTGGGGTTGCCGTCACTCCGGTGGCGGCAGTACTGCAGTGCAGGAATTGCTGAAGAATGTGAAGCAGATCCAAGCAACAAAACAAGCTTTTGCCGCCATTCTTGCTGATGGATCTGTCGTGACCTGGCATCATCCTCAATTTGGTGGCGACAGCCGGGCTGTGCAGCATCAGTTGAAGAATGTGCTGCAGATCCAAGCCACAACATCTGCCTTTGCTGCCATTCTTGGCGATGGATCGGTCGTGGCCTGGGGGAATGCTATCTGTGGTGGTGACTGTAGTGCTGTGCAGCATCAGCTGAAGACTGTGCAGCAGATCCAGGCATCTGACTTGGCTTTTGCTGCCATTCTCGCCAACGGATCGGTCGTGACCTGGGGTGATGCCCGTCATGGTGGTGACAGTAGCGCAGTGCAGGATCAGCTGCAGACTGTGCAGCAGGTTCAAGCCACAAAAAAGGCTTTTGCTGCCATTCTTGCCAACGGATCGGTCGTGACCTGGGGTGATGCCCGTCATGGTGGTGACAGTAGCGCAGTGCAGGGTCAGCTGAAAAATGTGCATGAGATCCAAGCCAGTGATTGTGCTTTTGCTGCAATTCTTGGCGACGGATCCGTCGTGGCATGGGGCGATGCTCGCTTTGGTGGTGACAGCAGTGCTGTGCAGCATCAGTTGAAGTATGTTCAGAAAATCCAAGCCAGCTACTACGCTTTTGCTGCCGTTCTTGGTGACGGATCGGTCGTGACCTGGGGTGATCCTGGCCGTGGTGGTGACAGTCGTGCTGTGCAGGATCAGCTGCAGACTGTGCAGCAGGTTCAAGCCACGAAAACCGCTTTTGCTGCCATTGTTGCCAACGGATCGGTCGTGACCTGGGGTGATGCCCGCCATGGTGGTGACAGTAGCGCAGTGCAGGGTCAGCTGAAGAATGTCCAGCACATCCAAGCAGTGCACTATGCTTTTGCTGCCATTCTTGGTGACGGTTCGGTCGTGGTTTGGGGTTATCCTGTCTATGGTGGTGACAGTAGTTCTGTACAGGATCAGCTGGAGAACGCGCCGATCTGAGCCTCCCACCGCGCTAAGGGTCCTGGGTTTTCTGCTTCAGAACTTCCGACGGTTTTTTTTGTTTTTCTAAGCGCAAGGGTCCAGGGTTTAGGGGTTTAGGCTTTAGAGTTAAGGGGTTCAGGGTTTATGGGGGTTGATGTGTTTTTTTTAAGGGTTCCGCAAGGGTCCAGGGCTTAACATGGTTTAACATTTGTTTTTAACATAAAGTGCCAGAGCAATTGTGTAAAACGCTGTGGGGCAAAGTGTACGTATACCTATACAGGAACTATAAGGGGATACTCTTAAACTTATACATTGTTTCACACCGCTGCGTTAGGTTTCTAGGGTAAGCAGGGTTGTGCAATTTTGTTGTCTTGGACGCTGTAGAACCCTAAACCCTCAACCTAAAGTCTTAGTATACGTAGTATCCAAGGTTAGAAGTATGGGCTCCTTCAAAGGGAACTATAAGGGTTCCCGTTAAGGGCTCCTATAAGGGATCTACAGGGTTTTGGGTTGAAGGGTTTATCTAAAGTTAGAAGTATGGGCCCCTAATCTGAACCCTTTGGCCTTTTTGAGGAGTTGTAGGGACCCATTAAGAGTCTATATAGGGTATATAGTAGGTGTCGGGGTTAAGGGCCCATTCTGGACCCTAAGCCCTAAACCCTACTTGGAGGTTGATGGGACTTAGTAACTAGGGTTATAATTAGTGTAACTATGCTTATAAGTACTTCTCACCCCAGTGAAGGTACTTATAACTGTACTTACTAAGTCCCATGAACCTCCAAGTAAACTCTAGGGCGCATGGTTCCAACCGTTTATAGTACCACCCCCGGGTCTGCCAGATGTATCAAGGGTTGAAACCATGGGCCCCTAGTATGAGCCCTTAACCTTGGGATCCCTACATTCCTGCTATATACCCTATATAGACTCTGAAGGGTGCCTAGAACTCCCTCAAAAGGCCCAAGGGTCCATATCACGGGGGCCCATACTTCTAACCTTAGAAATGAGCCAGGAATCAATAGCCTCGTGTATTACAATTATGCAGTAGAAGCCAGACAGTTGGAGCATCATTCTTTTCATGCCCTTAAGGTAAAGGGATCCTTGCACTTGTCCTCCTAAACACATGTTCCAACTTTCTGGCTTCTACTGTATGGTTCTTGACAGGATTTTGGGGTTCACGGCGGGATGTCCTAAGCGCTAAATCTCAAGCATCCCTTTTGTAGGGCATTGAAGATGGCCTGAGGATGTTTTGAAACTTGCCCCTGTGTCCAGCGGGGAAGCCATACATCCTAGACCCTTAGCCGGTTTAAGGCTTAGCGTTTGAGGCCTCAACGGGTTCAAGTGTTGAGAGTTTTCGGGTTCCGGGTTCAAGTTCTTATTTAGGGGTTTGAGGGCCTTTACTTAGAGGTTCATGGGGCTTAGCAACTAGGGTTATAATTTAGGTAGCTACACTTATATGTACTTATAAACTTATAATCCCGATTAGGGTACTTATAACTGTACTTACTAAGTCCCATGATCCTCCAAGTAGACCCTAAACCCTAAACCCTATAGACCCTAAACCATAAACCCTAAACCCTAACCTTTAGGGTTCAGGTCTTGAGCCGTAATCCCCCAGCTCAAACCTTTCTCGGCGTGGTGGGATCCCCGCTTGGATCCCAAAGGGTGGCCTTTTCCGGACATGTGGGAGTTTCCGGAAATAGGGGACCCTTAAAAAGTAACCTAAATAGTAGGATGCTTTTCATAAGGACCCCGAAGTAAGGTACCCCTAATTTTCGAGACTCCCACATGTGTTTCAGAGTTTACGGGTTTTAGGGTCTAGGATTTAGGGGGTTGGGGTTTAGAGGTTTAGGGGTTTAGGGGTTTCGCGGTTTAGGGTTTAAGGGTGTATGGCCCAGGATCTAGGGTTCAAGGGTGCTCTTACGGCACTGACTTTGGAAAACACGTACCATTTTACACCAGGGTGCCTCTTATTTGCCTAAAGTGGGGAAGAACACCACAAGTATCCGTCCATGGCCCATCTAAGCTTGCCTTGAAAGCAAACGTGTTTAGCCGGTGGGTTCGGAATCGTGTGCAAAGATGTCGGTTTCCGTGGAAGTTGGGCTGCTCAGTGGTAAGACGGCTACTGTGAATGCGGCCCTGGATGAAAAGGTGGAAACGTTAATGCTTCGTGCGAGGACCACGCTAGGGGGCTGGCAAAGGGCGGCTGGTGGACATATCTGGAAGGGTCCTGGATGCATATACATCGATCGGGGATTCTATGCTGTTGACTGGTGATATACTGACGCTGCACGTCAGCCGAGTTGAGGTGCATGCCGGCGATACCGCTTTCACTGCCATTCTCGGCGATGGATCTGTCGTGACGTGGGGTTATGATGAGTACGGTGGTGAAAGTAACGCTGTGCAGGATCAGCTGAAGAATGTACAGCAGGTGCAAGCCTCTAGCAAAGCTTTCGCCGCCATCCTGGGTGATGGGTCCGTCGTGACCTGGGGTTGCTGTCACTCCGGCGGTGACAGTAGTGCAGTGCAGGATCAGCTGAAGAATGTGAAGCAGATCCAAGCAACAAGACAAGCTTTTGCCGCCATTCTTGGTGATGGCTCTGTCGTGACTTGGGGACCTGCTGGCTTTGGTGGTAAGAGTAGTCCTGTTCAGGATCAGTTGAAGAATGTGCAGCAGCTCCAAGCCACGAAATCCGCTTTTGCCGCCATTCTTGACGATGGATCGGTCGTGGCCTGGGGGAATGCTATCTGTGGTGGTGACTGTAGTGCTGTGCAGCATCAGCTGAAGACTGTGCAGCAGATCCAGGCATCTGACGTGGCTTTTGCTGCCATTCTCGCCAACGGATCGGTCGTGACCTGGGGTGATGCCCGCCATGGTGGTGACAGTACCTCTGTGCAGGATCAGCTGAAGAACGTGCATCAGATCCAAGCCTCTAACCGTGCCTTTGCTGCCATCCTTGACGATGGCTCCGTCGTGACATGGGGTGACGCTGAGTTTGGTGGGGACGGTAGCACTATGCAGAATCAGCTGAAGAACGTGCAGCAGATCCAAGCCTCTGGCAGCGCTTTTGCTGCCATTCTTAGTGATAGATCCGTCGTGACATGGGGTGATCCCGGCGCAGGTGGCGACAGCAGGGCTGTGCAGCATCAGTTGAAGAATGTGCAGCAGATCCAAGCGTCTGGTCGTGCTTTTGCCGCCATTCTTGACAATGGATGCGTCGTGACCTGGGGTGATCTTGGCCGTGGTGGTGACAGTAGTGCTGTGCAGGATCAGCTGCAGACTGTGCAGCAGGTTCAAGCCGCAAAAGCCGCTTTTGCTGCCATTCTTGCCAATGGATCGGTCGTGACCTGGGGTAATGCCCGCTATGGTGGTGGTGACAGTAGCCCTGCAAAGGACCAGCTGACTAACGTTCAGCAGCTCCAAGCTACTGCATATGCCTTTGCTGCCATTCTTGGTGACGGATCGGTCGTGTCCTGGGGTTATCCTGTCTATGGTGGTGACAGCAGTTCTGTACAGGATCAGCTGGAGAACGTGCTGATCTGAGCCTCCAACCGCACCTTTGCCCTTCTTGATGATGGTTCGGTCGTCAATCCTAATCCGTCTGGTGGTGGCAGCCATGACCCCTATAAGAGTCTTTTTCGAACCCTCTTAACCGCAAACCCCAAACCCTACACCCCACACCCCATATATATATATATATATATATGTATATACATGTATGCATGTAGCTATGTATGGATGGATGGATGGATGGATGGATGCATGGATGCATGAATATATGCACATATGTGTGATTGTATTGTATTGTATTGTCTTGTATCGTATTGTATTGTATTGTATTGTATTGTCGCGTGCATGCATGTATGTGTGCATGTATGTGTGCATGTATGTGTGCATGTATGTACGTATGTACGTATCTATGTATGTATGTACGTAAGTACGTACGTATGTATGTATGCATGTATGTATGTATGTATGTATGTATGTATGTATACACATATACATACAAATTGAAAGTGTAAAATATACACTATACCCTCAAGCCTAAACCCTGTACCCCAAACCTTATAACCTAAACCCTATACTCTATACCCTAACCTTGGGTACGGCCCCCACTCAGTAACAGTTGGATAATATTCATTATATATATATAAGGCCCTTAATAGTAGCCCGTTTATAGACTGTTACTGTATGGGGGCCGTACCCAACCCTAACCCTATACCCTAAAATCCTAAAACCCAAACCGTACAACCCTGAAACCTCAAAACACCCTAACCCTAAACCCTAAACCCTGTAATCCCTAAAACCTAAACCGTAGAACCCTGAAACCCAAAGCGTACAACCCTGAAACCTCAAAAGGGATTATATTAGGGCCCTATTATATTCCTATTATACCACTGTTACAGGGTGGGGGCCCCTTCTAACCCATACCCTAAAACCCAAACCTTACAACCCTGAAACCTCAAAATACCCTAAACTCTAAACTCTAAACCCTGTAATCCCTAAACCCTAAACCCCTAAACCCTAAACCCTAAACCCCTAAACCCCTAAACCCTAAACCCCTAAACCCTAATCCCTAAACCCTAAACCCTAGTACAACCCTGAAACCTCAAAAGGCTCCGAGCACCCCGGCGGGGCCGACCTCAGTGGCTCTTCTCTTTCCAGGCGCCCGAGCTCTCTCTCTCTTTTTGGGATCTATGAAAGGGATCTATACTATAAGGGTTCCTTTTGGAGGGTTTTAGGGGTTTTAGGGGTTCTAGGGTTTTAGGCGTTTTAGGCGTTTAGGTTTTGGGGATTTTGGGGGTTTAGGGGTTTAGGGTTTAGGGGTTTAGGGGTTTAGGTTTAAGGAGTTTAGGGTGGTAGGCTTTAGGATCCTACAGAGGCTTCTTTGAAGGGCGCCTTTGAGGCTTCTATGAGGGTTGTCCAGGGGTTCTTTGAGGGTGGATGTTTAGGGTTTAGGGTTTAGGGTTTAGGGTGGTTTTGGGGTTTTCGGGGCTTAAGGCCTTAGATGTTTTTTTGAGCAAGGGTTGGCTGGGCGGGGGGTTGTTATGTAGATATGGTTTGGGGCTTTAGGGGTGTTAAGGGTTCTTGAAGGGCCCGAAGGAGATCTCCGGCTTAGAGCTTGAGAAAGTGATGCTTGAGGTTTTAGGATGTGGGTCTAGGATTTAGGGTTTAGGATTTAGGGTTTAGGGTTTAAGGTTTAGGATTTAGGGTTTAAGGTTTAGGGTGTAGGGTTTAGGGTTCGATTGCAACCTTGCTCTGCGGTTTTGGATTGAGGTTGCTTATGTGGGGTTGCCCTAGAGTTGCGGAGCAAGGTTTAAAGGGTAGGTGCATAGGGCTCAATGACGCATGATGATGGTGCTGATGATAACTACACATTGCTTTCATGATTGTTTGATGATGGCGACGACGGCGAAGGCTGCCGCGCCCGCCAGTAGCTGGAGTTGGACGACGAGTATGACTAGCACCGCTGCTGGTCTTTCATGGCTTAAACCCTAAACCCTCAACCCTAAAACCTAGACCCTGAACCTCTATCTTGAGCGGACTTTAATACAAGGTTCCAGGGGGTTCGGGGGCTCGGTTCAGGTCTGTAAAAGCCGAAACCGTAGCTTCAGGGCTCAAGGGACTCAGCTAATGCTGTCCCGCGATTTTGGGACTGATCCTGTAAAGGAACCCTAAAAGCTGAGGGTTTCGGATACGTTTTGGTATAGGTGTGCAGACGGGTCGCCTTCATCGGCTATATCCAACAGGATTGAGAGCAAACAAGCCGCTGTTGTTGGTATTTGATGCTAACAACGTTGTCAACTATGTGTCTAATCTCTGGCACTCAGATACTGGGATGTATTCAACCCCTGAGGTGGTTGCCGCAAGCATGATCAGTGCTATCTTCGCGCCCACAGAACAGCTGTGGGTCTCTCCTCAATATGAGCAGCTTTGGCCAATTAATCTGTGGTGGTCTGATCACTGCAATGCCGAGATGCCATCCCTGGCACATGAATCCAGAAAATGGTGCGAGAGTAACGGGAAAGCCTTGAAGGCTCAACTTCTTGAAATGGCAGGAAGAAGACAGCCACCAGAGCCTCCCATTTACGCTTTAGGGCTCAGGGTTTAGGGGTTTAGGGGGTTAGGGGTTTGCGGGTTTTGGGGTTTGGGGGCTTTCGGGTTTAGGGGTCTAGGGCTGAGAGTTTAGGGTTTGGGGTCTGAAACCCAAAACCTCATAGATCCTTCATAGAGCCCCTTATTAAAGGAACCCTAAACCCTGACAGAGCCCCTTTGAAGGAACCCTAAACCCTTACAGAGCCCCTTTGAAGAAACCCTAAGGGCGGAGGGTCGAGAGCCCGAGGATCTCCTGGGTCGGCGTTCGCTTTCTTGTGCCTCTCAGGTTTGAGGATCTTTTTCGAAACCCTAAACCCCAAACTCTAAACCCTAAAACTGTATTTTGTGGAAGATGTAGCTAGTCACCTGCACCTACTGTCGTTCATTGGCTCAAGAAAATATGCGTCTGCATTCAGGCTGTTCCGCCTGTAAACATAGGTTATCAGCCGTAGGTCTCACTTCGTTTGTAGATCGCGATGGATGCTCCCGTAAATCCTGCAGGTATTCCCGCGATAGACATTTCCGCGGCTCGCGTCGATACCGAGGACCTCAGTTCTCTTCCTGCCATGTCCGTCCAAGACGATGGCACGGATCCGGCTGTCCCCGGTACCCGAGAGGGTGGCCAAGTTGTTCCTCTGACGGCAGAGGCCTTGGCCGTGATGGCCCAACCAGATCCCCGAAGAGATGCACCAGGAGCGGTGTCAGAATGGGCATATGTCTCAAGCCCAGCGCACCAACTCGCATCCCTGGCGGGATCGCCTCAACAATATAATGCGCCCCAATATTCACCCAGCGAGATCAGAAACGTCGCGAACTACTATCAACAAAATGTCCTTGCGCCAACGGTGCAACAAGCAGTCCATGTGCATCAAGTAGACACAGGACCAGCCGTTGCAGCTGAAGCTGAAGCACGCCACAGATTGATCATGGCAGAAGCAAACAATTTGCATAGGGAGCAATTCAACCAGCTTCATGCACAGGCGCTATCCGGTGCTGCCCAACTTCGGTTGGAGTTTGCCCAAGCGGAGAGTCGTCTGCAACAGAAAGAAGAAATGCTTCGAGCAGCCGGCGAAAGCATGGCTAATAAGCACAGCGACGAATTGTCGCAGATGCGACGTGAAGCCGTTGACTACAAGCTCAGGCTTCATCAGGCTGAGGTTACAGTCTCCGACGTTGTAGCCCAAGCTGAAAGAGAGCTGGCTAATCGAAGTCGGGCTAGCCAAGACACCGTTGCAGTCATGAATGGCGAACTAAACCAACTCAAGTCTGAGATGGGTGCATTCATGCAAGTGCATCGCCAACAGGCTGAATCGATGACGAAGCTTGAGCGCACCAATGCCGAGCTTCGTGATCGCCTGGCGAAAGCCACGGCATATTCACCAACTGCCGTAGGAGATCAGTCTCCCATTGAACACCCTATTCATACCCCTCCGGGTCTGGGTAAAGTAGATGGTGGCCCGCCAGGTGGAGGTGGAGATGACTCGCCTCCCGAAAGCGACGGCGACGGGGATGAGCCCGATGACGATTCCCGTGACAAGAAGAAGAAAAAGAAAAAGGACAAAAAGAAGAAAAAGAAAAGAGACTCATCTGATTCATCATCATCGTCGTCTATCTCCCTATCTAAAAAGGACCTCCTGAAGATGTTCAAGAAAGTCGTTAAGTCGAAGAAAGACAAGGATGATGTCGAGGAAACCGAGGCGACAAGGGGAAGGCCCAAGGTGAAGGAAGCTGAGAAGATTGTGTTTCCAAAGTTTCCCCAGCCAGAGAACTATCGTAACTGGAGGCTTCGCGCACGCGAGGCTGTGGTCGCCGCCTCTGACCGTCCCGATGAGGCTTTCGAGTGGCTCGGTGAAGTGTGGAAGGATGATACCACGGAAGAGTCCCTTCGTGATCCTAACGGTTTCACAACGCTTGATGCGAAGATCCTCTCGGCAATCACAAACATTCTGGAAGGTGATTTTGCTCGCCAGATTGACACTTTTAAAGAGAGGGAAGGACACGAAGGACGCTTAGTTCGTGGCCGACAGATTCTACATAAGCTCAACGCTTATTTGTCGACCAACGCACTCCACGGGTCTGTGTACGATATGGAGGATCTACTCAACGTCGTCATGCTTAACGAAAATCTTGTGCAATTCGTGCGTAACTGGGATACTGTCCTCTCAGGCATGAAGAAAGCACCTGCTGACGATGTTTTGCAACCCTTGTTTCATAGACAGGTTAAGAAGTGCAAGCTTTTGGCGCACGACATAGCCATCTATGAAAGGGCAGTAGACGGCACACAGGAGAAATCCTATGAATATCTGTACAATGCCGTTAACCGAGTCATCAAGATCAAACGGCTTGAGCGCAACCGGGAACGGATTGCAAGGCAGGCCGCAGCAGGTATGCCATCGGCACCCGCACCGCTAAAGCGTGTGCCCAAAGGCTTCTGCATTGACTTTGTTCGGAACGGTTCGTGCAACAAAGAAAAATGTTCCTATAAGCATCAGATACCCGAGAAGCCACGTGGTAGGACACCAAGCAAAGGTAAAGGCCGAGGCAAGTCGCCCTCCGCAAGGGGGAGCCCTTCTCCTGGGAAGATTAATGCTGAGTGCAAATTCTTCAAGCATGGTAAATGCAACAAGGGTGACAAGTGCCGTTTCATACACAAAGGCCAGCCTTCTGCTCCTGCCACTGGTAGCGGTAGAGAGTCTAGCGGCGAAAAGAAGAGTAAGAAACAGAAGAAAGAAAAGAAGCATAGGAAGAAGTCTCGCTCCAGCTCTAAAAGTTCCAAGGGTAGTGGAGGCTCCAAGGGGAGCAAAGGCTCTGGGAACAGCAAGGGCTCGGGGGGGCGGAAACCTAAGGCTTCGCTTCCGGCCGCCGTCTGCCTCTTAGGCGCACTTGTCGCAGGTTCGGCATCCCAAGCCGATGCACACGCTTTCCGGAAGGAAATGCCGAACTTCATTGACTCGTGTGCAAGCACCGCTCACGTTGCTCTGGCATCTGTGCGATTCTCGAATGCTCCTGAGTATCACTACATTCCCACGCCCCCTGAATCTTCCAAGTGGCGTGAGGTTGAAATCGAGCCGAGGGTTTTCAGTGAAGAATTTCCTGTTAACTACAAGCCCAAACCTGATGGGCAGGATGTTCGGGATGCTTTGGCGACAGCTAAAATGCTGAGGTCAACCGTTGAAGGTATGAACCAAGGTACGAATCCAGCATGTAAGTTCATGTGTAAGACTGAGTTCGGTTGTGCTCATTGCATTGCGCCCGGCATATCTGTCGGATGCCCAGCAAAGGGGAGCCGATCAGATCCTGTGATTGAAATGGAATGGATTGCCGACACTGGCAGTGCTCAGGATTTGATATCGAAAAACGTTCTCGGTGAAGTAAAGGATTTCTTGTCGGATCGGCCTATCAACATGATTACCGCCAACGGACCTAACTATGCTGACAAACAATGCAAGGTTAGGATTCCTTCGATCAATACGACCGCCGAACCATATGTTCTACCCGATTCACCATCCGTTCTCTCGGTTGGACAGAAGTGCATGGAGGAAGGGTTTGACTTTATCTGGAGAGCTAAT